CCCTCCCTCCCCGCGTCCCCTCCGCCTGCATTGGCTCCAAGGCTTTCCGCACCCCCGTCCCTCCTCTCTTGACGCCGGGCCCTGTGTCTACCCTCGCCATCCTGAAGTCTGCAAGCTTCTCCCTCCTCGCCTGCTCCCCCCCTTTGACGCGAGTCCCTGCCCTGGCGCGGTCCTGCCGGCCGAAATGGCCAGGCGCCCCGCCCTCCTCTCCCTCCTCCACGTTCTCAGTCCCCTCTTCCCTTTCCCATTCCTTCCCCGTCCCTATTCTCACCGATGTCGACGCCACCAGAAAGGTACGCGGCCTCTTCAACGTGGTCGAGACCCCGCCTCCTTCCCCCCTGACAAGGACCTTCCCCCCTCCCGTCTTCTCCTCCCTCCCCACGCCCCCGCCCTTCTCTTGACCCAGGCAGGGGTTTCCACTGGCATCCGGGCTTCTGCGTATGCCGCTGGCACGACGAGGGATAAGGGAGATCGCGGCTGCTGTGTCGGCGGCAGCAGCCACCGCCAGGCCCACCTTGGCCAATGCCTCATGGTTCGAGCACCGCCGGCTCTTCCCACTCAGCCGTCGGGAAGACGCCGAGGCCGTGGACGAGGGTCGGCTTGACCGCCCGCTCCATTTCTGGTAGAGTTCCGCGTGGGTGGTGTGGAACCACGGGTCTATGGGAATGCTCTGAGGGGCCGCGGGACCCCCAAAACGCGTAAGAATGTGAAGATGGATGAAATGCCTATGACAAAACGCCTTGCCAAGCACATAGTGGGTGTTTAAACAAGGTAGCAAAAGGTATCCAGACCCGGATGTGGAAACAAGAGAGGAGGGAGGAAAGGAATGAGGACCCAGGGCTAGGGTACTAAGAGCCTTTACCTGGACTCCTTCGTCCATGAGCACGCGAGGATCCGCCAGATCTGTCCATCCTAGGCCTGGAGGGAGAAAATCAAAATCCCAGGATTCATCCATGGATTTTTGCTAATCTTCCGTGGACGTTGGGGTTGCTGTCGTTGATGGGTAGAGTCCGAAGTGTGAGGCAGGAACAGGAATCGCGTTGACCAAGGACAAACATGCGGTTTTTCAGAAACAACTTGTGCGAGACACAGAAAATTTCATTGTTTGGACAACAAAGCGATGTGCCGGCAATTTGTGCGCATACGCGTGCATGTTTATCGGGATACGGTGGGAAAGAGTGATAACACATCGTTAACTCAGGCGGGGGGTAAGGGCAACCTCAAAGCTCTGAAAAGGGTGATACAAAAGGAGGCAAGCAACCAATCTATTGACAGCCTAGTCAAGATGGTTGATCTGATGACTTGTTTGAAATTTGGGAAGAGACATTTCCAAACCGGTACTCCAGTGCTGGCCTATCACTCGTGGCATTTTTAACGTTGAGAGCGCGACGGGGGGGATGATGGTGGCGAGAGGGAAGGAGAGCTCGTACGGCCATCGATATGGACCAATGAACGGGGAATTTGGTTCGTCAACGAACTATGTCACATGGATGGCTACGATATGCATACGGGACTGCTTGAAGACGCAGATTTATGGGTCTCTTGCTTTTTTTAAAGTCACAATGTTTTACATCTCCATCCTCCACCTCCTCTCTCAACAGAGCCCTCGACACCTCTCCTCTCCCACAATTTTGTTTCATTTCTTAAGAGCTGCGACAAGATACGCGACATTCAAGAACATAACATCTTCTTAAAACTCCTGCACAAGCGCTTTATCTGTCATGGCAGCCCCTCAAGTAGCTTCGTCCACCCCTGCCGACGGTAAGTTCGAGACTACCCTACCTGCCTCTTTCCTCACTCAGCGCAAGAAGATGGAAAAATTACAGAGCGCGGAAACCTAGTGATCAAGGTGTGTCGCCGGGAGAATTAGGCCTGAAATTCAAGGATTATTCTCCCTGGTAATACCTCGATCCTTAAGTTTGGCCACCGCGCTCTGCAATTCTTCCATCTTCTTGAACTTCATCTGGCTCCCGGGCGGCCAACGGTTTAGGCGCCTTTCTTTTCCTGTGCACGACATCCACCACCACGCTTGACACGACACGCGTTTCTCTCTCTGGTCGTGCCAATACCCGCCGATAATTTGGCCATAAGATATAGTTTCATGACGCCTTTCTGCCTTCTGCTGCTCAACCTTATTTGAAACCCTCCCTTGTCCCTACTCTTCCACTCGAACCCCCTCTTCCACACACAGAGGAAGAAGAGCCCTTACACATCGATACGGGCGACCAAATGAAAGTGAAACAAGTGCTGGACGAGGCGGTGGTCAAGGCCATAGTGGACGCGGGATATGAAGGTGAATGCGGGCGTCATTCGTCCTCCCTCCCTTTGAGTTTTTCGCCCCGTCACGCCCCACCACAACCTTGTCCGCTCCATCTGCTTTATGTGTTGGAGCTCCTCCCCGTGTCTTTCCCATTCATTGGATCTCCCTGCTCCCACCATCCCTCCCTCCTTCTCCCCAACTCCCAGAGAACTTCTTCTACGACAACATCAAACTCGCGCTGATGGTCATTGCATGCGTCTTCGCCCTCATCGCTCAATTCTACCCAATGCCTTTCCCTGAATCCCGTCCCCTGCTGGGAGTCTGTTGCCTCGCCTACTTCCTTGCCAGCACCATCATCCAGCTCATCGTCTCCTACGTGGAGCAAGATACCATCCTGACGACCCAGCCGCTGCGCTCGGGGGGGAAGGCGGGAGAAGCCCTGAAAGTACGGACGCAGTTTCCCCGTTTTCAGGACGAGTACACGGTGTTTGTGGAGGAAGCGGGCATGCAGGACCCCCCGACCGTGTCGAGTGAGTAAAAAGGGAGGGAGGGAGGGAGGGAGGGAAGAAGGGAGGAGGGGTGCATGGAACCTTGACTATCAGGAGAATCAGATGGGTTTCTTCCTCCTCTGCCCCCACTTGCATCTGCTGATGGCCTCTTATCCCTTCCATGCCAGGCAAATTCTCCATCGGCAAGGTGTTCGACGAGGAGGGGAATTTTTACGAAGAGGGATTGGCTCGAGAGGTGCAACGGCTCTTGGACCGTTACAAAAAGCAGATGTGGGACGTGGCAGAGAAGGAGGAGAGGAAGAGGAAAGGGGGAGAGAAGAAGAAAAAAAAATGAGGGGTGGGGTTGGTGGGAAAGCAGATCTGGCGTACGAAGGCTCTGCCAGGCGGGACTGGGAGATAGAACCTTCCATGACGTTGTGAAAGAAATTAAGAATAAAGACAAGGGTTAGAATAAAGTGGCAAGGCGCTGGCAATGAGGGACAAGGAAAGGGCTGCCTCTGAGGGAAAGAGAACAAGTGGAGCGCCTGGGGGAGACAAGACTGGGAGGAAACTCCTTCCCTCCCTCCTTCCCTCCCTCCTTCCCTTCCTCCCTCCCTCCCCGGTTTTTGTTTCATCTAAATTTCGGTATTCGCGCTCTTATTTATATTCTTTTGTGCGCACCCACACCCCCAGCCTCCTACTCGCCACCCCCTTCTCGCCTTCTATATCAGCTTCTTCTCTTCCCACAGGACCACATACCCTTTCGCTCTTCCAGCACCCTCCCTCTTCTCCACCAGCTTCTCGCCTTCCCATCACCCAACATCCCGCGGCCCCTACCCGTTCCCCTCATCTTCCCTTATTTGTCCCCATTTTTCTTCCTTCCCTCCCGCCCCTGCGTCCTCTCTCCCGTCCCCCTCGTCCTCCTCCCATTTCGACCCCATCCTGGTCGGGCGCACCATCAAGCCCGGATGGATGAGGCTCCGTTGCCCGCCTCCCCCCCTTCCTCCACCTTCTCTCCAAACCTTGATCTTTCTCCGCTTCATGGGCGTCCCGGCCTCTCTTTCCTCCCTCTCACCCTTCCTCTCCACCCTTCCCTTCCCATCTCCCCCCCCCGCCTCCTCCGCGAGCGGCTG